AACAAAAGCACCCTTTCACATACCCAGTGCTCACAGCCAAAGCACAGCAGACCCAGAGCAGTGAGACTGTAGGAGATCACCCAACGAGGGCTGGCTCCCCAAATCAATGCCCTACCAGGGGAGCCCAGCCTGGGGGTGGCTCCTGACACGAGCCCGGCAGGGCTGCAGGCTGCCAAGAGCACATGCCCCCTTCTCTGCCTCTCCCTGGTGCTGGGGAGGCATGAGAGTCCAGCCGCCCACATGTCCCTCAGGCCTTCCTGAGAGCCACAAAGTAGCCTCAGCTTGACCTGACCTGGGCCTGCCCAAGGCCCATGCAAACCACAGAATCCAGGAAATGGCTCAATGTCAAAGTCCCGAGAGGCAGCCACAGACAAGGACACGGGCTGCCTGAGGGCACCCAGGCACACCTGCTCCGCGCACGAGGCCTCTGGGTGCCCCCCCCCGCCCCCGCCCCAGCACCGCTGAGCAGGGGACTCAGGTTACCCGTGGCTGTGCCGGGTCAGGCCTCAAGCGGACAGCCAGCCTCCAGCTCACCGCTCACCGTTCCAGAGGCCCAGCCCAGCACAAGCGGGAAGTCCCCACGGCCAGAACAGCCACCACTAAGGGCAGACATGCGGACGCTGACACAGAAGCTGCCCCGAGTCAGCAGTTGGCCTGGGCCGCTCCCAGGAACCCAAGTGCCATGTGGCTCAGCAGGGACAGAAGCCCTGTGGCCAGCAACCCCGGGGCAGGGGTGGGTGGAATAAAGCCCCACATTGCCCAGTGACCCTTGACCTCTGCCCTGTCCCGAGGGCCCGGGAGAAGGGGGTCAGGAGGAGGCTATCCTGAGCCTCCAGAAACGTCTGCAGACCCCAGCAGACAGATCTGTGCCCCTGTCCCAGATCACCTCATTTCCCCCATGCTAACTAGGGAACCCACTGGGTGGCCGGCACCCTGTCCCCACCCCAACCCCTCCCCTCCCAACACTCGGACACTCCTCTGACCCCAAGCCCCATGAATCGCAAGCTCTCCAGGCCATCCCTAAGCATCTGACCTCCACATAAGGGGGGCAAAGGACCCTGAGCCTGACAGGTGCCAAGGTAGTATTTTCGAGGTCGACCTGGACTACAGACCTCCACCGCAAGTCACACTCAGGACAGGACCCAGGGCAGGTGGAGAAGCCAGGACCCTCGCCTGCCCACCGTCCAGAGCTCTCAGGCTCCTGGGCAGGCAGTCAGGGGCCCAGGCGTCCCCTGCTCAGGGCACAGACAGGTGGGACACACCGCACCGGGGCGCGCAGGCACGGGGAGGCACCGCCCGGGTCACAGCCCCAGGATCTGCCCTGCCTGGCGCAGACAGGTGCCCACACGCGCGCCCGCGCACAGGCCCTGTGGCCCACTGACCCGAAGTCCTGGTCCATGGACTTGAAAAAGAATTTGTAGGCGTGCACGGGCCGGTTGCTGAGCACGTTCTTGAAGTCGGCCAGCGTGACGCGCTCGGGCGCCACGGGCAGCTTGACCAGGTACGGCGTCTCCTCCTCGTCCATGTGATAGATGATCTTCGTCTCCGCCATGGCGCGGCGCTAAGGCCCGGCCCGGGCCTTGGACGCGGGCGCCTCCCCGCCGCCGGCCCGCGCCCCGCCCGCGCGCCGCTCC